CTGGACTCAACAAAATAAAGAATATAAATTAAAATAAATTTTAATATATGCCTCTTACCAGTCCGGTGAATTCCTGCTTGATTTTTTTTTTTTAATTCATTTTATATTATTTTATTGGGTTTATTTATTAAATAATGTACAACATTCTAAGCTGATATTTTCATTTTTTTTTTTTTATATATTTTCACCCAAAGGACCTGATTTGCGATTAATCTCACTTACAATCAGACGTTCATGAGTGCAGGAATCTTCTTTGCAAATATTTAACTACTTCAGTATTACTTTTCAAGGCCACTCAATGTTCTTATGTATGGTGTCTTCAAGCAATATGTAAGCCCTTACAATTTTTTTTATTCTACTTTCAACGAAGTTTCGAGCTGATTAGCTCATTAACAAGTCGTCAAAAAACTTTGATCTATTAAAATGTAGTTCTATATTATAATTTCATTGAACAACTAAAATACCAAAATAAAACATCCACATCCACAGTGGTTATTTTTGATATTCGGTGTACAACAAATAGTTGTTCAATGAAATTATAATGTAGAAATACATTTTAGTAGATCAAAATTTTTTAATGACTTATCAATGAGCTAATCAGCTCGAAACGTCGTTGGAAGTAGAATAAAAAATTTTAAGTATAAGAGCTTCTTTACAAATTTTAGCGATATTATATACTATTTATTTCTTATTAATTCATTTAATAACTTTAAAAAATCTAATCTGCAGTCATTGTGTATATATTATATGTTTTGATTTTAATTTTCATCTAGTATTTATTTGTTTGGATCTTTGGCAGATCCACGAGGGGGTATTCCAAACACATCACTTCAATCCATCTCAACTCATACTCTTTTAGTTATTTTAAATAAATTTTATTACTACATGTTGATTTATTCGTCGTCGCCTTGCAGATAAAGAAAGATAGTCATCAAATCACCAACCTTGGAAAATTGGGAAATTTAAATGATGATAATGAATAAGGTAATATGTACATATATATATATATATATATATATATATATATATATATATATATATATATATATTATTGATTTCGAAGTGTATATCTAGAGATTTTAAATCGAATTCCGTTTGTTTAGCTCCAGCCACTTTTATTCGTGAGTTATATATCTTAAGACTTATTTGTTGTGAAATATTATTTTCAATACTTGAATAACAATATTCCACGAAATCATATGATTAAAGAATATTGAATATCTTGCCGAATGATCGGCAAGATTTTAAGAAATATTTATTTTGTTTTGAATTCACTAGCTCAATGTTAAAAATAAAAATGAAGAATGTTGTTTCAGGCTCAGGTGCCCTCAAGGTTTCCACTTACGGCCTTGCTTGAGTTGTTCCATTTAATCAATCATTCGGTAAAATTATTACATTATTTTTTCCTTACTGTCATCAGAGATAGTAAGCAAGTAAATAAATTATTGGTAATGGGGTGACATCTTTAAGTTTGAAAGCTCATCGAGCTTGAAAACTCATTTTAGGCCGTAGGCCTGTGAGCCTATGCCACGATTATCTATTAAATGGAATGACCGATTTGTTTAAAAAGTTCTTTTAACCTAAGTTCTTATTTGTCTAATCATCATTCATATATTTTCCATAAAGAATATCTTAAATCTCACATATCTTCAAGTATTTTCCTTCAATTCATTAAATAAGATTGGATACAATAAATATTTTTTAAATGTAGCATGTAGTTTATATTAATATTCATATTATAATTAATATTAATTAAACATATATACTTAACGTAGATATTTGATCGTAGGAACCTATGATTATTGTTGTTCTTTTTATTTCTACAAACGTTATAAAATGAATTTATCTATTTCTCTAGTTTACTACAGGAATAGATCTTTCAACATACATTAACCATGACTTACATACATACATACATACATACAGCTGATTATTTCTGCGTTTATTAACGGTCAGATGATTCTCGACCGCCAATCGATTATTTATTTTAGGGTGTTTTAATTTTACAATGAACAATTTTCTTATCCAAGCAACAACGAGATGTGAAAATGACAATTGGGATAGTTTTTATCTATAAAAAAAAAGTTTCTTTATGATAAAACCTAAATTTATAAATTATAATTATAATTGAATTAATTTATTTGCGTGGCAAAGAAACAAATAAGTGTATGATTTCAGTTGTTCACTGTAATATATATTTCATATATATATATATATATATATATGAATGAAATTTTCATTAGGTTTCCTTCCAGTATTTTCTTCAAATCCCTATTGTATTTACGTGCAGCCCATGAAATTCAAGTAATGAATAAATAATTGTCTTAAGAAAAAGCACATGGAATAAACAAAAAACAAAATTTTACAAATGCCATGTCGGTCATATAACAATGAAATATAATGAGTAGTGATAACAGAAACAAGTAGTTTAAAAGAATATAACCCAACATTATAAATAAATAATAATACACGAAGAAATTCTAAATGAAGGAACAAATTTAAAAAAAATATTAAAATGAAAAAAATTATTAGTATGCGTGAGAACGAGTCCGTGTTCCGTATTTGCTTCCTCAAACAGTTTTATTTGAGAAACTTCCGACCGCTAATATGACCACTTCGTTCCACTATTACTACTTCCTTCTATTACTGTTATCATTTCCTTTTAAAGATAAAGTAGGTAGACTGAAATATATAATATTTTGAATTTCTTTTCTTTTAATATTCGTGATTTCTTTTGAATTTATAATATTCCATATTTTTTCAAATATTTATTAAGAAATAATGAATAACCGTGTTTTGTATTTTTTTTTTATACGATTTTCAATAAGTAATATGGGGTTTTTTGTTTAGAAATATTATTAATGTTATTCGTTTTCATATTATTTCGTTGAAAAATCTTACGAAAATGTTATTCTATTTCTAGAAATATAAATAACGAAATTGCTAAAATATATTTAGTTTTGCTCAAATTATATCTTTGCTACAGCTTATACACATGACTTCTTCAAATCATTTTGCGTTCTTCGCGATAAATAGCCCTAAAGTTTAGCTTAAAACGTGTTTATGGGAATATGAATTCTTTACGATTGACAGTAAATATAATAATGGCATTTTTAACAAATTTATTTGATAGCCTAATTGTAGTGAGATCACAACTAAATTTTATATTTTATTAAGGATATATATATATATAAATTAATCATATAAAGGAAAATAACTTGATGAGTCGTCAAAAGGCTACTTTTTTAACTTCAATTAATTCATTATTTAAACTAGAGCTACTTATTCACAAAAACAAAATTATTACTTATTTAGGATATGTATCTTAACATGGTAGATATAATATTTATCAATGTTTGGATTAGATGCTTAATCATTTACCAGAATAATTTCCATAGTATATTGGTCAGTGAAAAAATGACAATAAAACATGTAATAAAAGAAAAGAAAAAAAGAAAATATATTTGAAAAAATATAATATATATATATATAAAAAAAATTAAAATATTAACAAGATATAAAATAAGCAAATACAATTTAATATGAAAGGGTGAAATTAATTTTCATTAAAAATAATATACCATAATACAAATTACAATTGGCTGCATATTAGCTAAAAATGGTCCAATTTCTGATATATTTTTTTTTTTTTCATTTTGTTGGAAATTCGAAAACCTTTTTAGTTATCATGAGTATAATCTTATACCCATAAATATACTTCTTGTATTTTTAATACAATTTGCGTCGTATAACTTATGTGCAAATAATGTTACGTTTCCTTTATAGGTTTTTTGAAATTTTTCTTGGGGGTGTGATTATTTTTGCACCTTAAAGACATGATGATCTTCAAAATGATTGCTGAATCATTGGAATCACAATCGGACCTAAGGGAGAGGGGAGGCTTTCGGGCTGAAACCCTCCACCCCTCCCAAAATGGTAAAAAATAACTATTTCTTATAAAAAACATTATGTCTAAAAGTATTATTGTTCGTGTAGTTAGTTACATTTAATAGGACTTCATGAATAACTTAAAGGTAGTTAGTTTCTTTCTTGTTGATCCAAAGTGATTATCGTTATAAATAAAAAAAAAAAACTAAGGTGTGTGCTTTAGACCACACGATAGAAGTGAAAAGATCAACAAGGCTAGATAATTAGTATGACATATAAATGATAAATAATAGCTCATTATAAAGAGGATGAAATGATGAACATTTCCCTCGCTTGCTGTATGCAAGTCCGATTTTTAGTTTCTGAAATATTTTAATCCATATCTTCAATTAAAATCATTATTATATCATGTCTTCGTCATTATGTTTTCATTTTGGCTTCCCTAACACCGCGTTGCGTCAAGATACAATTTTGAATGATATAGAGAATATGAAATGCTGAACAATTCCCTCGCTTATAGTATAAAGGTCCGATTTTTTACTTTCTGAGATATTTTAATCCATACGTAAAAACATTTTTAATTAGTCGACTCTAGCCGACTTTTCCCAAGCGTTAACACCGAGTGAAATCTGATGGACCAATCTAATTCACTCTCGATAAAAAAAGTGCAATATACCCTTAAAGATTTTTTCCCTTCAAAATGCTTTCGGGCTGAAGTCTCCCCAAAAATTGAATTCTGGATCCGTTAGTGATGCTATGAAGGTTTTTACGAAAATATTATTATGTTATCGACAAATAAACATCTTTCACGAATAATGCATAAAGATTTTTGTTGTTGTTATGTTTTAATGGGTGTAAAAATAATCACGCTGATTCAAATGCATCTTAGATTTTGTTAGAAACGACATTTGGTTTTTTATTCTCAGAAAAAAATCCTTTTTTTTTAACTGCACGATCGGCTATTATTAATTTTTTTAAAGAGTTTCTAGTTATATTTTATAGTTTATTAATGAATGAAATGTATTTCATATTATAAAATATAATGTTTTAGTATCAAATATATTAATTACACATCCGACACAAAGATAAATATGTTTGTACGAGAGACTCACCGTTCTGCGATGAGGTGCAGGAGAGACCCTCGAACCACACATCCATCGCCCGCTCCAACTAAACTAATCCCCTCTAGAGGCTGAGAGGCTAGCGGGACTCTAGAGGTGAAGGGGAGGCAAAACGTCAGATGGTAGGGAGCATCGTACCATCCTGTTTGTTTATCAACACTGGAGGAAGTCGTTAATAATAATTTTTATGAATAAGTACTGAGTACTTTGATGTAATGGATGATAAAATGGTATATTATCAACATTATATCAGTAGCGGATACGATGGAAAAGCTAAGTGAAAGGACATTTTATAGAATGTTTTTTTTTATATATAAAAATATAAATCTAAGAAAAATTTCATGAGTTTTGATTAATACTAGCCACTTTTATCACAATTGAAAGTTAGGACATTTTTTTTATATTTACGTACTTATAATTTTTGTTCTTTTCAACAATCTAGGTAATTTTCACCTAAATTATAGTTGATAATTCATAAACGAAAAATACTATAAAGTTCACAAAACTACGGGTTACAAATACAATGTTGTAATTATTATTAAAAGAATAACAATAGGAATTTTTTCAGAGATTAGAAACGTATTACAGATTGAAAATTAATTACGAATGGTGAAAAAGTTACAGACACAATTGCCGTTAAAATTATTTGTGAAAAAATAAGTTTACAAATACCATTAAATTTAACAATAAAAATATAAATTAAATCTTATAACTTTATACCACTTTTTATTTTTTATTTTATTTCGCTTAAGTGTTTGACAATGACTCTTAAAACTTAATATTATGCTGCCATTCACCTAATGTTTTCTCCTTCAAGCTTGCCTCTCCGATAAGGAGGGCTCGAAAATTTCTTGAACTCGCCCAATCTTGACAGGAGTTCCCCAAGGTATTATAGTGGACCCTCTACTTCATATTGTATACACTTACGATATACCTGTTAACAATGAGACATTGGCAACTACTTGCCAATACAACAATTATCGCAGTAAATCAATAACACACACAGGTCTCACTAATTTTACAGCACCATTTTCCTATATTACAAGATTGGCTCAAATTCGACTAAATCGTGTTGAATCCAGTCATATTATATTTACTTTTCGAAAATACACTTGTCCTCCAGTTTATACTGAAAAATTCAATAATCTCAAATTCCTTAAATGAACACGGCACTATATCTTGGACTTACCTTTGGCAGAAGGATAACGAAGGACCCACATTTAGAAATGAAATTGGAGATCCTTAAGAAACGACTCAAACTATTTTATCCACTTTTTTCCGAAATCTTCAAAACTGATATTGAGAACAAAAGTAATAAATATGCATTCTTACTTAAACCCATATGGACTCATCACAGATATATGCTCACCTACTCACCTACAAAAACTTCAAACCTTTCAACCTAAATTATTACGACTCATAACAAAAGAACCTTGATATATGACCAACAAAACAAATCGTAATGAGTTCCACCTGTCAACAGTTGATCATTACATAACCATACCCAGGATTGCAATAAATAACGCATAAATAATACGCTGAAACTGACATTTTTATTAATTCTGCCTCCTATATTAGTAGATGAAACTAATTTGTAAAATTTTATGATACTGTTAATTTATTCTGATAACTTAATACGGAAACATTATAGAATATATATATATATAGATTTGCATTTAAACATGGCGAATACCCGTTAATAAGTGAAATTGTTGATGCGGTAATGAGAATTTGCTTAGCCATAATTAGTGCTTATGTCTCGTAAACATGTTTTTCACCTATTGCAATTCTATGCCTTACTTCCGTATGAGAGCAATGTATGCCTTCAGGTTTATGGTATTAAGGATGCCCCAACACTTTAATTTAAAACCACTGTTTTAAAAATTGCAAATACCTGCTTGAATACTTGAAAAAAAGTGGTTTACCCGTAAGCTGCTATCATAAAATTAAAAAAAAATAAATTTTACCTATTTTAACATTTTGGATGAAGCAGGAAAAAAGTCATAAGGTATAAGTCTTCAAACTTTATTTCTGCCTTTTCATATATACACTACACACATGGAAATTAAAAAGATTTTAGATCGAAGGTTTATGAGCAAGTTTCATCAAAATCGTTAGATCCAATGCGGCCCTACTATTTATACAAAAGCACGCTTTTTCGGTTATAATACACAGGATGTCCATTTGGCAGGTAGGCGTTTGAGTCAAAAACCACATGAAACAAAAAAAAAAAAAAAGGAACAAATATCGGTCCATCCATTCAAGAGATACAGTGGCAAAGAAACAAACACATAGACTGACCAATGCCTGGAAATTTCTTTTTGAAGTCAGTGTGCACTGAAATGTAGATATCCTTTCAAAACTTTGAACTAATCATAATAATTTTCTCACGGTAGGAAAAAAAATAATAGTATCAATGATAATTGTGAGTGAAGCTTGTAATTCGAGTCATGGCTTTGCTAATGTTTCAACCTTGATATAAATAAAATCACAATAAACAAACAGTCGGCAATACCACTTCATTTAAATGAATGAAACATTTTAAACTATAATTACTTTTTTTTTAACATCGCAACGTTGTTTTTAAATATGCTATCAGGGGAGCCACTGATAAGCTAGAATACATTATCAGCAGCATGCTTCTTCAGCCCTGATATGAATTAGTTACATGGTACACAATACACTCGTAGACTGTTAATTTCTAGCTTCATCTCAACCTCGTATATGAAGTAAATGATTTTGTATCAATTAGTATGACCCAGCGAGTTATGTAATTAATCTTATCGTTCAATATATAAATGCAAAACATCACGAAAAGCTCAGTATTAAAGAATAGGAAAAAATATCTAGTCTTTGCTCTTAAAAGCGAGATAACAATCTCTATTTATTCAAGTAGATGACTATCTATTTGAATAAAAATGAAAATACAGCTAGGTAATTACAGTTTTATTACCTACTTGGTGAACTTAATGAGTCGTGAATCCGTATTAATGTTAGAAATAATAATGAAGGCCTACTGCTTCTATCCTTGACTTGAATCCAATTTTAATTTCATAAGACTGTTGGTCTTTTTTTTCGTGTAAGTATATAGTTTGTGATCTGGTTCAGCTATGAGATATGACGTGAGAATGGCTACTATATTTATAACCAGTCTTCTACCGAAACTAAAGTACATTAACAGCAATACACTGAGTGGAGTTCGTTGACGATAGTTTCGGTAACATAAATATTTCGCCATTAATAAACTGTTTAATTTACACACTGTATTATCACTGTTACCAAGGTGCTGTTTAGGATGGAAGGGGGAGGGGTGAAACAGTTACAATATTTACATGACATTCATTACAACCATTGTAATGTCTTACAACCATTGTCTACAGTAGTCCTCCGTGAAAGATATACCCAAACGAAGGCTCCACTAATTAGACTGTCATAGTTTATTTAATAAACTTTATTGTAAAATTTATAACGTTATTAAATAATAAAAAAGCGTCCATTGAAGAAAGAATAGCCAAACTGGAAAGACTGAACTTCGCCACTAGATACACATCTACAGCAAGAAAAAATTGTCCTCTAATGCAAAAATAAGGCACTAAAATTCAGTAGTAAGACCAGTGATACTGTATGGTATAGAAACAGTCAGCCTTCCGAGCCTAGAGAAAGTCCTGAAGGTTGAGAGGAAAATTATGAGGAGGATTCACGGACCCAAAATAAGGGATATAGGCGAAAATCCAATGAAGAAATATACAGGAATTTGATCTGGAAACAGTCATCAGGACCAGGAGACTGACGTTTTATGTGCACATGGTTAGAATGAACCATGAGAGATTAAACAAGAAAATCGTCGACAAAGTCTGGAACTATAAAAGTATAGAGGGGTATGTAAAACAAATGAATGAGGAACTGGGTAGGCTAAAAATCGCGGATAAAAACTGCTTGGATAGAGAGATTTTTTGGGAAAACTAAAAGAGGTTGGGGTTCTTGTGGGAAGGAGGGAGAGCGAGAGGAACAGTCCAGGAGGATGAAGGAGTAAGGAGTAGAAGGTTTGGAGAAGAACAAAAAATGATATTCACGATGTTCCTTGCTTGCCGATGCGTTCAAAAAATTAAATGAATTTTAAATTATATTCTTAGGAAAATTGACTTCTACGAATACTTGGTGATATAGTCGGGTTCCTTTCAACTCAAGACTTTGAGTTTGAATTTGACTTTGGATGCTGACTTACACCGGTACATGGGACAATTTACTTAATTTCTATTCACAAGAATGACCAGACTTGCACTTTGCAAGACCAAGACCGATTTTGGGCAACACTGACTGATACTGAGGTATATTTTTAATATTTTGTACAAAGAAGTGCTAAAAATATAACTCTAATTCAACTTAACTCAAAAATGTTTACACCTTTTACCATACAAAACCATAGCTGGTTCGTTACCGTCCAATGGATTTATTAGAGTAAGGTTCGCATATTCGCGGAGGTGTCCTTGAGAAGTAATTTTGGATTTTGATAACTTGAAAAAGAACAAAGTAGCTCGAAATGTTATTATAACTTAAACAAATAGTAAAATTAAAAGGGCTTATCGACTTTGAAGATACCACATATGTGGAATGAAATAATAATAATTGATGACTGATAAATAATATTCCCCCTAATTTAATAAAAAAGATTTTGTCTTCCTGTATGTTCCTTTATTTTTAACTTTTGCGCGATCGGTTTCGGTCTTTTATCTGACCTTCATCAGGCTAACTTCTGAAGATCTGATAAAGGACCGAAACCGGTTGCGCAAAAGTGAAAAATAAAGGGATATACAAAATCTGTTTTATTAAACTTAATTTCAATCAGTAACATCAAGCCACAATTATATAATATTCTCCTTGTTCCAATTTTCATTATTAAAAGTGATTGTCTGTATATTCCTGTTGCTTTTTTAGTAAGAGCATCTAAATGATTTTGTTATGTTTTATTCAGTGTATTTATAATTAGGTCTAAGCTTGTAACAGCGGTTTGGTTGAGATGGCAATGAACCTCAGAGCTTTTGTCGGAATC